CCGAGCGGGGCAGCCGCTTCGCTTTTAGGATGCGGGGCTTGCAGCGGGGCTGGGAGCGCCTTACCTGCCGCCCTGCCCCCGCCGCCCCCCGGCCGCCCCGCTCCTGGGGATGGAGGCAGCGACCTGGAAGTTGGGAAGCGCTGCAAAGGCAGGGGGGCTGCTGAACTGTCAAGCTCGGGTGCAGTTAGGGGGAAAAAAACCCCCATCTCTCTCTCTCTCTCTCTCTCTCTCTCGCCATACCTGTGCATCCTGAGCGCTTTTTGAGTGGGAAGGGAAGGATGGCATTCACAGGGAAAATTCCCAGCTCCTTCTCTCAGCACCCACAGTGAAAATTGTTTACTTACGGGTCTGAGCCTAGACCCTCCTACCGCTGGGACATTTCTAAGAGGGGATTTTGCTTGGGAAAAAAAAAAAATCAATGATCTCAGCCTTTCTCCCAGGGGTAAGGAGCCCGGCTCTTAGGAATGGTGTTTGACCTTTAAGCATTTATTGGCTACTGAGGTTAAAATAAGCTTGAGATAGAAGTAAAAATAGCTTGCAGAAAGGTTAAATCAAAGGTTAAATTTGTTTTTCCTAGGAAAATTGAGGCTGATGTCCAAAAATGAAGGCTTGGAGCAAAGGATGGGAGGGTACACGTTAGGTCTGTAGGCAGGGAGACGCAATTCATTTGAAGTATTGGTGGCTGCCGGTAGTGTTTGACGCCAAGTTCTGAAAGTTGGTGGACGGGTGGTCCTCAAACTAAGGTATTTTAAATAAGGTCTGGTCTTTCTCTGGGTATTTGGTACAAAGTTTGGAGTGCCCATAGCTCCTGTTGATTTTCCTCTTGAGTTGCGGATGCTCAGAGACCTGCAGGATGGGGCAGCCGACTGCGGGCTAAGAGCCGTGCCCTGTCTCCCTGCCCTTGCCCTGCGTCCCTGCCTGCTCCCTCCCGCCCGAAGGCAGGGGTGGCCCCGAGTGCCCGCAGTAACCTTTCTGATTACCTGTGCTCTTGTCTGGGCTTGCTGAAGAAAAAACGGATAATTAGAGGGTAACAAGTCAGAAGAGGCAAGCAAAGTTATAAATGCGAGTAGTAAAGGAAACAAATCCCCTTGTAGATGTGGAAAAAGGCAAAGCACAGGAAGTAAACGAGGGCTTGTTTTGTTTTAAATTTAAATGAGATTAAATTTTGCCCCAGGGGACCAAGGCAGCAAGCAGAGTTGCTGTGGAGGAGAGGAGGAATGGCTCTCTCTTCACCTGGGCAGTTGAGTTTTTGCTGAAGACGTTGGAGCCGACAGCAGGCTGTGGAGGAGGCGAAGGGGCAGACGAGCCCCGGCTGGCAGGGGCAGGCTCCCACTGCCCAGAAAATGAGTGTTCCTGGGTACCAGGACCGTAGCTTTCTGGATTTACGCTTTGCAGGGTTACCAGGGAGGTTAAGAAAAGAGCAGCGCGGCTTCCCCTGAGATGTAAGGGCTGTGCACCAAGATTTGCTGACGGTCTGTTGGCACAGCCGACGCGCATCCTTCGGTCGAAAAGTTTGTTCTTCTGTTATTGTGAAATTGGGGCTGTGCCTGCGTCGGGGGGTGCTGCTGCTCTCCCAGAGCCTCCTATAGCAGCGCTTGACTCCAGAATTGTTAATGAGAAAAGGCAATCCGATGAGGACAACCCTCCCACGGTATAAAAGCTGCGACCTTCCAGCCCTCCACCCTTCTTCTTATACTTTCTAACAACCTGCTGGTATTCCTAGACAGAGCAAAGAAATAGTTAACGCAGAGGGGAAGCATTGGTGAGCTGCCCCTCGACTCCACGTCACCCGCCCGGGCACAGGCGATGGGACAGGGGGTCTGGGACGGGGGGTCCATGGGAGCAGGGGTCCGGGCTGGCCGGAGCGGTGTGCATGCCGCTGGGGGCACTATTTTCTGTTTGTGTTCCTATTTGTGTGCTGGAAGAACAAACAGGGAAGTGGTTTTTCTGCAGTCTCATTGCAGCTCACAAACACAGCACAGAATTCAGCCGGTGTTGCTCAACTGTCACAGCGTCAGAGGCGACGGCGCAGGGGGACCGAGCGCGGTGCATCCCTTAACGTGCGGATGAGCGCTGGGAAGAGGTGATGACCAAATACTTTTTTTTTTTTACTGCAACTTCTGCAGGTTTCTGTGCCTGTTCCCTGTGTGCACAGGCATGTATAAATTCCTCTAGGTTGCTTGCTACAATCCAGAATGGTTCATTCTTGCAAACAGCCCCTGCACATGGTGCTGTGATGCCACCAGGAGCTCCAAATCCCACGTGGACTTGATGTTTGCAGGGGGCTGGGGAACGTCAGTGGATTCCCCCGGAGCACAAGGATCTTGGAGGGGTTCGCGGAGGGCGAGGAGTTCGTCGGAAGCAGTTGTTTGCTGGCTGAAGGCTGAATGAGGCGTTTTGGTTTAGCGTGCATGGGAGCATGCATGCGGGGAGGAGCGCCCAGGTGGGACAGGAGCTCAGGATCTGGGCGCATGCATCTCTCCGTGCGAAGAGTACTGCTGCCTTCACTTCTCCCAGGTTGCATGGGCTGGGCAAAATTGCATCTCCAAAAGCTCCTCTTCAACCCTCCCCTGCTGTGAGGCAGGACCGGGCAGCCCGAGGCCATCATCTCAATTTTACCCCCAATCCTGCGGCTAATTTGTCCAAGGCCCTAGTGATTTACATTTGTTTAGGCTGATGGAGGGCCATCATCTTCCTTGGCTTAGCATTTATCTGCCTTTCTTAGCTTGAACAAAGGCAATGCTGAACATGTGTTAGTTTGTAAGCAATTCCGTTTTCGGGTTTCCAGGCATTAACGCAGGACTATGCCTGTGGATTTGAGTTGCAGACACTTCAGGGGGATGTTCATTTGTTTATAAAAGAAACCCACATCTGTTTCTGTTTGAAATTTTTAAGCAAGCATACATAGAAACCTTTCTCTTGGTTTCTGGCTCTGTAAAAGCTAGATTTTGGGCCAAGTTTGACCTAACGGTGACCTTTTCAAAGTATTACAAATTTTTTTGGTATTTGTTTATGACTTTAATAATGATGCCATGCGGGGAATGGGTCAGTTAAAGGTGAAATTAGCTTCTAATGTAAACAAAGGATGAATTTTGGAGCAGAGACCGTGTTTTGTGGAGACTTCAAATTGCTTAGTAGTACACCAGCTGAAGTGCTCCGTGCGAAGTTCGTCAGGGCCGGAGCTCTGGCCCTGGGAGCGGGAGGGATGTGGGCAGTGGGTCCCCCCCGCGCTGGATGCCGGAGGGGTGTCGGGCGCCGATGGCTCGCCCAGCCACCATCAGACTTTATAACCCTGTGCTCCAGATGGGGAAATGGCCCAATTACCCTTCTTCTACAGTAAATTCCTCTGTTAAGTACCATGCGGTTTACTACTGCTTGGCAGATGAGTCCCTCAGAAAACAGCATCTTCTTAACACTGCCTGGAATTTAACCGTTTTCTGAAAAGGTCTAGCTGAGTCCTGGGGTTTTGGCCCCAAATTTTCCTTCCTCCAGGCACACAGTAACTTGTGGGCCGTTGTGTGCCATCCTCTACCCAGGCAGTGGTTGCCTTTCAGTGCTGCTGTGTTCAGAGGTGTCCGTGCTTGGCTCAAGCCAGAATTTCATTCAGAGCAATTGAAATGCAGTTTGGTTCGGAGGATGCTGTCTTGGATCCTGCCAAGCAGTGGCAAAATGATTTACTGAAGCAGAGCCGCTGTTTTACCTGCAATGTGAACCACTTCTGTATGTGAATATCAATTCATACTGTTATATAGTGAGCCTGTAAAAGTGTGTTGTGTAGGTAGGTGTAGGACAGGAGCGGGATGCGGGGACCAAGTTCAGTTAAAGGGATGATCAGTGCATCTTCTCACATACATATCAGAGCCAAAACCAGTCCCAGCATCCTGACACCTGTGCTGTGCGTTAATCATACACCTTTTTCCCTCCCTTGGAAGGAGAGTGATGTCAATGACACTGTCTTGCTGTAAAGGCAAAGATGGGGAAACACTGGCAGTCTCCCTGGCTATCAGTAGCATTCCTTTGCTTCAGCTCAGGTGTTTTTCCCCATTGACTTTGGCTTATTTAATCTCTGTGGCTAGGAACTCCAGAATCAATAAAAGCGTAGCTCCAGCTTTGTGCTCCAAAAGTCTGTTTGCCACTTCAGACCAGTAGGAACCAGTTTAAAACGTTCAGGTAGAATTTCCACTAAAAGCAAGTAAATTGCAGTTAGAGCTGTCTTCAATATCATTTTCCCCAAGCAAAATCTAATGGCTCCTTGGAACAAGGCTGGTTTAATAACATCTGTTTCCCCTTGAATCACTGGGGGAAAGTATTGATATTGCCATATTCTCAAGGAACATTTTTAATCATGTTTTGACAGGGCAATGCCTTACCACAACACTGATAGTTAAAATGTTTAAGATACTTTGTAGTATTATCACACCATTATAAGGGATAAAACATAGCACATATTGTAAAATACAGGCATTGCAAGGGTTTTTATATGCTTATGTGGAACTTTTCCTGTTGTTTGGGGGGAAATGGCGTGCTCTAGCCTGCTGTCCAGTCCGTGTGCTGCTATACCTGCTGCAACCGAACCACACAAAGCCAGTGTTTTATTATCATTCCCACTTATCATTTGCGGAAGCGGTAGTGTATATGCCATGTTAACATCCCTGGAGTCTTAACAAAATATCTCAGAAAGTACTAGGAAGATTTCCACGAGATTAACGTTGTTTTCTGCGGGTGTATTTTAGCTGACAGCCTGTTGGATAGTTGTTGGGTTCATGCGTAGCATTTTGCATCCAGAGCCCCCAAAGCCCTGTATTGGGGGCCCCATTGATCAGCCACCAGCCACATTGGTTAACTGGGGTCTTCAAAAGTCAAAATCTCCTTTTTCCTTCCTTTTTCCTTCCTTTTTCCTTCCTTTTTCCTTCCTTTTTCCTTCCTTTTTCCTTCCTTTTTCCTTCCTTTTTCCTTCCTTTTTCCTTCCTTTTTCCTTCCTTTTTCCTTCCTTTTTCCTTCCTTTTTCCTTCCTTTTTCCTTCCTTTTTCCTTCCTTTTTCCTTCCTTTTTCCTTCCTTTTTCCTTCCTTTTTCCTTCCCCTACTGGTACACCTACTTGACTTTCAGCTCCGAGCGCTCGGTTCCTGAGGGGTGAGTTCAGGAGAACCTGCTGATTTCAAGCGGTTCTGTGGCTTGTTCAAAGTCACAAAGCAAATCAGCAGCCGAGCTTGAAACGGGTCTCCTGTCCTCCTGATCAGTGCGGTGGTAGCCGCTGCCATGGTTTTGTCTCCGAGAGGACGGGGAAGTCACAGCAGCTGTGCAGAAGCCGCTTGCTCACCCCCCGCCCCGGGAGCCGCGGTGCGGGTGGTGCCGGCGGTGCTGGCGGGGGGCTGCATGGCTGTGCCGGAGCAGGCAGAGCAGCTCTGGGTGATGGGAAGCGTGCTTCAGGCTTGGCTAGCGTGCGCTGGCTGTGTGACAGATACACCAGAAGTCTTAAAAGAAGTAGGTGCCGCCTGAGTGGGAAGATGAGTCAGAGGGTAAAACCCCGGTCTCATTGTACACAGGGGTCCTCTTCAGCTCCGTGATGCTCGGACTTCCCCCTGCAGACATACTGAGAGTGCGCAGAGTTTCCATTCTCCTATCTGTGTACTTCTCAAATTTGCAGCCCAGACGGGTAGTTCACGGAGGTCTTTTGTCCCGTCCAACAGCACCGTGGTCCGTGGTGGGGCATCCTCCCGTAGCGATGCTCTCGCAGAGGGAGGGACATTTGGTTGTGAATCCTGCACGGGCAAATTGCTATGCAAAGCCGAGCGATCCAAGCGTACTCACTGTATCTCCTAGGAGCAGGGAAAGCTGGTAGAGAGACACTGGCACCCTTAAAGTTTAAAAAAAAAACCACTATGAGGATTGTTTTCTTCCTTTTCTAAGCCCCTGGGTAGTTGTCTGTCGTGGGGGTAAGTACTGGCTGGTGCTGGGATAACCAGTGTGCAGATGTTCAGAGATAACAGTGATTTGGTGCTGAGGTGAGTTTCCTGGGCATTAAGTGTAATGTTCAATTTCTTTTGTTACAGATGGAAGAAAAACGACGCAAGTACTCCATCAGCAGTGATAACTCAGACACCACTGACAGTAAGACCTTTAATTCAAGGCTTTGAACAAGATAACTAAGCAATTCACCTCCAGCAGGGAAAATGCTTGAATAATTACTTTGCAAAGAGTGGAGGAAACTGCATTTACTGGGAAGTCTCTGCACAATGAATTGTGCGTAGGGCTGGGTTTGTCAGAAATGCAGCAACAAGCTGATACCAATTTAAACGCCCCGGTTGTGGCTCCTCTTAACTGTTGAGGCTGTCTCCCTCGTGTGAGGAGTCTGGGCGAGGGAGAGCTGCTGATCGCAAATCTGCTAACGAAGCAAACTCCCTTTGTAGACAAGTTGTCCTTTCCTGTGAGCTGCAGCCTGAGACCGGTTAGCTCTTGACGGAGTTGTACTGGGAGAAAGGGAGGTTTTTACTGGAGTCAGGGTAAAGCTGGAGCCTTCTTGTTCCCTTCTTGCAAGCTGAAGAGTGATGTGGGAAAAGGGATAAGGCTCAAGCCAGCAAAGCTTGCAAGCTCACGCTCGCTTTTCAACATCTACCCCACTTCATCCTCATTCAGGAAAGCACAGAAGCATGTGCTCAACAATAAACATGTGCAAATGTGCTGAATTTTGGCTATAAATAGAGCGCTTTCCTCTCTCACTTACTCCAGGGTTTCACCCACTGCAGACATACCGCAGTGCCTTAGTGTTAGTACCCCCGAGGCACTAGTCTAATCCCTTGTCTGGGCTCCGGAGTTTCCTACTAGTTGCTCTTGGTTTCTTACGAATGTCACAGTAATTTCATCTGGGCCGTGCTGGGAATTTGCTCTCCACACTTTACAGGATCTGGCTGCTGGATATCCGAGAACGAAAGGGGCTTCGCTAAAGACACTAAACTTCTGGGCCTTTTCCTAACAGGATGATGGGGAGATTACAGGGGGTTATGGAAAGGCTGATCTTGCTGGGTTTGGCTGCCGTTCCCACAGCTTTAGCCAAAAAAATTGTCAGCGTGACCAGAGTTTGCACCACTACAGCTGACGGGAACCTGCTGTTTGGCTGCTGGAGGGGACCCCTGTCTTGCTGGAGCCCTGGGGGGGGTCTGGGGGCTGAACCGTGCTTACGGAAAGCGTTTCAGGCTCTGTCAACACCGCTCGCTTCTCGTAAAATAAAACATCTTGATCTCAGAAAGGGGTTTGTTTTGGAAGCCGTGCTCCAAACTTCCCGTCTCCTAATCCCCAGATGCTCAAAGGCGTACCAAGCCGAGCCATGCTAGCTGGCTTCTGCCTTTCGGGGGTAAGGCATCTTTAATCACGGTATTAAACAACATGGCCTTATCTCTGTTGGGCTTGGATATTTATGCTGCAGCTGATATCTAAGCTGTTGACAAATGCTCTCCTGCAGGATAATTGTAAACAAAGGGATGACCTTTTTTATGCCTCTGCCAGGAAGGGATGGTAGTGGCATGTTATCTGAGTCTACATAGTTGTAGCACCACATTGTAGCTTGAGAAGAGGGGGCAAGGTGGAAATTAGTGACTCGATCTCTCGGTATAGACTGTGGATCTGCTGCTGCAGTGCTTTGAGCAGCTCGCCGAGTAAAGCGGCGTTTCCCGGCGGCTGCAGCGTAGGGACTTCTGCTGTGGGCTTTGCCTACGCAGTCCTGTTACGTACCGAAATGATAAAAAAAATGCATTTATGTGGAGCCCGCTTTAATGACATCTGGCCTGGCACTGCAGTCAGAAAAACAGCTGTCCTTTGGGAATGACTGATGCCACCAGGTCTGCTCTTCATTTTATGAAGTACAAGAAAGTGGGTTTATCAAGTAAAGAGTGCAAGGTGAACTAGTGCCTCTTCCCCTGCGAGCAAAAATAGGCACGTGAGATTTATCTGGGCTCATGAGGGACTCAATTGCCTGAGCCGACGGAGGCCGGGACATTTCCCACCGTGGTGCTGCCGCACCCGGGACAACCCTGGTCCCTTGTGCCAGCTCGGCTCCTGGCCAGAGCCCCTCCTGAAGTCCTTGCGTGCATGGCTCCATCGTGTTTGGCAGTCACTTACGTGCACGGTGTTGTTTCCTCCTATTCAGCCATCCAAGGATAAAATCAGTGTTAAATAGGCCTATCGATAGTTAATTTGTTGCACCCCTACAAAAACTTTTTTATATAGTGGAATCTGGGAGGGTCCTGCTATACAGAAGACCCAACTGTCGTCATGATAAAAAGATTCCAATAATTAATTTACTATTTATTATTACCAAATACATACAGCTTTTTTTTTTTAAGTGATAGTAACACATATGGGTTGGAAATAAAGATTAATATCATAACGGTCCCAGCACATTTCAGGCTGTAGCTGCCCTTGCCTTGTGGAGGTGGTAGTGGTGGTGATGATAATGCTCCAGTCAGGATGATGAGAGGCCATTCATAATACTCCCAGAGTAAAGTAATCCCAAATCCCAAAGCAAGTGCTCTCTTACTACTGAAAAGTGTAAAGTGCCTTTGCTCGGTGTGTCCTGTTGCGTGGTTCCCACTAGATGCTGAACTGCACACAGGCGTGGAAATTATTAGTCCTGGCATGGGCAGAGGAGTTTTACCCAATTTGGTCAATATTTTTGACCATGGGGTCTGAAGTCCTCGAGCAGTTCGGATGCTTGTCTTTAAGCATCCTTGTTAGAAAATTTTTAGTCTTATCTCCTTAATTCCTGATCCCAATAGATTCCTGATTCCAGGAATAAGCCCTGGCTCATTCCCCCTTAGAAGCCGTTCTTACTCATGACTTTGGGTTTCCCATTTCTGATGTCTGCATTTGAAAACAGTGTTTTTAAATTTCAGAGGCCTCTGTTTCATCATCTATAGCAGCAGGAAAGTGACGTTAGTCTATTTTGGTGAAGTACGCTGGGATGTGCACAAAAATAATGCCATGTCAAGGTATTATTGCCTCTTAGCGTTGACCCAAAGTGTTGGTTGAGGCTGTAGTAGTGGCAGTGGAGCTGGTGACAAAGATATGGAAAAAACTTCGTCTCTTTTCCAGGTAACCTGTCTCTGTTGCCTCGTTGCAGGTCACACCACGTCCGCCTCCAGATGCTCCAAAATTCCGAATACCAAATCCGCCTGGTCACGGCAGAAGGAGAAGAAGCCCTCTGAGGTACGTGGGCTTTTAGGCTTTTGCCAAAAGAGAGTTTTCTCCCGGGGCCGTGCTTGCCCAGATGTGGTGGCAACCGGCGTGCCCATGGCTGGCTGTGGACGGTGGGTGCCAGGACAGGGCATCCTCCGAGAAGCCAGAGCCCACGCTGCAGAGCCACAGCTCCCGCCAGTGGGTGCCAGCCTCAGCCTCGTGCTCAGCTCTGCTGGGAGGGAGCAGGCGGAGGTACCCGGCGGGCATCTCTGATGAAGGGTGGGGGGTCCTCGTGCTCAGTCCATTGGGGTCCTTGTGCCCACTCCGTCCATGTTGATGCAAGTGGGGAGAGGTTGAGTTTGGTGGGATTGGGAGGTCCTACGGTATCGGGGTGGCTACATGCTGAAGTTTCCCGGTTTGGGTGCCCGCCTGGATGCCCTTTCATTAGTGGCACAGGTCATAGCGCTGATGCCAGGGGAGGGTGGCTCGGTGGCATGGAGGCTCCTCCCCGTGAATAAGTGGGAGGTACAGAGAGCCGTGAAACGGGAGACGGCACAGCTGAGTTGCAGATTACGTTGTGTTGGTTCCTCCTGTCACGGGGCTCAAGGGCATTAAGCTGAGGCCATTGGTGTCTGACCTTGCTGCAGGGTTTTCCCTCACTCCTGGCTGGTACAGGCAGCGCTGCCCACCCCGGAGGGCATTGCCCAGGTTGCCCGTGCCAGCTCTGCGGTGCAGGGTCTGGGACCGGGTTGGGAGGAGCTGTGTTTCCCGAGGACTGTGCTGGAAGGGACGATGCTGTGCCCTGTTTTCCCTCGTGTGCCTCAGATAACGTTTCCACTAGACATGGAAACTATACTAGGCATGAGCTGCTGTTGTAGCAACTGGAGTGTTTAGCGGTGGTCATCTTTGTTTCAAGAGCAGCGTGAGCAAAGCCAGAGGGACATTGTTCTCACATTCCCTTTCCTCTGGACCGGGGTCCGGAGTCAAACAGAGCTAAGTTTAGAAGCAGGTGAAGCTGGCATGGCTAATGCCTGCTCACAGGCTGTAAACTTCCCAAGCCCCCACGTTACGCCACTCCTGAAGCTGTGGCCTGGTAAGCACAAACCTCTCTAACATCTTCCCTTTGCATCAAGCTGAGTAGAGATTTTGAGGTTTTCCTGTGGTCACTGCCTGAATTACAGCTGCACTTAGTTCTTACCACTCTGACAGATTTACATTGATATATCTAACGTGTTGGCGGTGGACAGAGACTTAAAAAGTCTGAGTTGTTTGTGCCTTGGCTAAAGAGAGGGGCTGAAAAGCTGTTATTACCAGCTGAGGTAATTAGAAACACTCCAGAGAGCAAAGAACCAGGGGTGCAGATGTCACTGGCTGTTGACAAGGCTGTCGGAAAGTTGCGCATTGGGGCTGGCAATGTAATTTTTTGGTTATAGACGTGTCTCTCAAAATGTGTGAGGGGGTGTATTCTGTGAGCTGAATCCCCGGCTGAAAAAGTGAAGCATTTAGGGCATCTCCTCCTCCTGGGACACTGTTACCCCTCTCTGAAATAACTGCCCATCCCTGTGCCTGATGTGTCCGTAAAGGCACCAGATTAGCCGTGTAGGTGCCTTCAGGAGTCCCGTGGAGATGCCTGGCGTTAGACCTGGTTAGATGCGCGAGGCTGTGACTCATGTGTCACCGACAGTGCCACACGTGCCACCCTGCTGCTGCCCAGTAAAATCCTCCTCCGAAAGAGCCTGCATCGGGAGATGTCTTTCTGCATCACTGGTGCAGACATGCTTTTTGTCTTTAATATGAATTAGCTTTATCAGCCAGCTGAGAGTGTACTTGGCTGCTAATGAAGTTGCTGGATATAAGTCCCAGACTCCAAGTGAAAACGCTTCTGCATTTTATGAAGGATGGTCAGACCTGGATCCAAGTTTTGCTGCTCTACAACAGCTGGAGTGAAAACCAGATCTTAGTCCCCGGCACCCGGGGAGACGTCAGATGTGGGGCCTGTGGAGGCCAGGCTCATCCCTCTGCTTCATGCTCCGTTTTGCCCAGAGGACAGTTCTCAGTGAAATGTAGCTCTGGAACAAATAAAGTGGAGCAAAAGCTTAACAGTGCCCAGCTTAGCAACGGTTGGGACAGAAAGTGAACCCTGGTGGCATATCTGAACTGAAACTCCAGGGGAATTTGGGGAGGCGATGTGTAATTACTCAAGTTGGAGTTTGGCCAGGATGCTCAAGCTGACAAACCATCTTTTACAAAAGCGTGGTGGGAACCTGAGCAGATGGGAGCGGTCCAGATCTCAGCTTTATCCCCTTATCCTGCATCTCCCCCACGGCTGCTGGCATCCGGGTCTGCTTGAATTCAGCTCCAGGTGAAACCCAGGGGTCAGGAGAGTGTGTCCCTGGGTTGGCCATAGGATTGCCCCGTGCGGCAGGTCCGAGACCTGTAGCGGTGCATGGTAATGGTTTGGAGGTCACTCCAGTGAGTGCTGGTTTATAGATTTCCTCCACGACAGCATCTTCCAAACTTTTCCACGAGTGACCCAACTTCTGCTCTTACTGTGAGCACCCGTGAACCCGTCTGGTCCGTGTGTGGGATCCACTGCCCGTCATCTGTGAAACCCTGCAGGGTTTGGCACGTCCTGTGGGATTTCTCGCAGGAGCCCTGGAGGATTTCAGGCGCAGACTGGGATGGGCATCGTGTCCTGCTGGAGCAAGTACTGAGAAGTGTAAAACATAAACCACACCACTGTCAAACTACTTCACATGAAATAATGAAGTACCTTTTTCTTTGGTATCCCATTGAGGATGGAAACCACAGGAGGGTAACGGGGAGAGCGTGATGAATGTATTATCAGATGTTGAACCCCTCCGGGCAGTCTGCCCCAGACATTTTGAGGCTGGACAAGCCTTTTCAAACAGTAACTCAGACTCCAGGTTTACACATGGCTTGTAGCTTTATCAAGAGCTGAGCTGCTGTCCAGGTGCAGAGGGTCCGGGCACATCCCCAGGGGTGGCGATGCTGGAGGACGGGCTGGGGGAGCGGGGGGGGTTTGTGTCCGCCTGGAGGACGGGCTGGGGGAGCGGGGGGGGGTTGTGTCCGTCGGGAACCGCTGAGCTCTCCTGCCCCTCTCAAAAGTCATGTCCCTGCTTCTCTGCGAGCTGCTGTCTGCATTCCCCCTGACAACCCAAGCGGGAGATAAAAATATCAAAAGCATTAGTGTTACATAGTTATTAGCCAGGTCAGGGGGTGATGTTTATTATGAAAGACTCTGTGAGAAGGGATTAACTGTACACATTAAAAACCACCCGATACAAGGCATCTGGAAAAACAAGCTTCTTAACATGGAAAAGTACTGACCTGTTTGTAAACATCCGTGACGGGGGCCATTGCCAGGGAGGGTGATTATATTTATCTGTGCCTGCCACAGGGCTCTGCCCGGGCTCTTTCCGGACGTGTCCCAGGCACCAGGCCTCCGGTTCGGCTGCCTCCCTTGCAGAGGTGACAGTCGTCCTCCCCTGCCTCACGCGTGGGCAGCAGAGACCTCGGGGCAGAGCCCCGGTGCGATGCCGATGGTGGCCCGGGCATAGGCATGGCTTTCCTGCCCCACCTTTGCCTGTAGGCAGAGGATGGATGTGGGCAGCTGCCAGCAGCTTCTTGCATCTGCAGTGATAGCAGTCCACCGATCTGGTCATTTCAATTAATCTCATCAGAGCTCGTTTGTCTCTGAACCTGGCCTCAAACGGAGCGTGGTGGCCGGTACCCATCCCCGGGCGCCGCCGGCCGAGGAGCCCTGTGAGGAGATGCTGGTCGGGCTCCCTGCCCCAGGAGCTGAAGGGAGGGGGGATGCTCGCCCAGGTCCTCCCTGTCTTGGATGCTGAATCTGCATCCAAGATTAATGTGGGAATAAGATGTGCCTGAAGTATGGATTTCTGCTGCTTTTAGTGGTGCATTAGTGCAATCCTGCCCCCGGCTATAGGGCTGCTGGGGATATGAGCTCAAGCCTCGCTGGTTAGACTGCAGTCATCAAGCCCTCTCTCCTGTTTCTGACAGGGAACAGTTGTCAGTGTCTAAGGAGAAAATATAAGAAGGCGGCAAGTGTGTAATGATAGTCGCCGGTTCTATCTGCCAGCTCCCAGCCATCAGCGGCCTGGGGACTCCCTCGGATGCTGCCTCTGAGTCACTGCCTTAGCTGCTGTGTTAGTCATTAGCTCCTGAACTATTTGGGATCCAAAACACTACCCTGCGATGAGTTGCACTGCTAGAATATATTGTGGGGGAAAAAAAAAACCTGCTTTTTTGTGCAAACCACCTGCCTGACACCCCTCCAGCCATCCCTCTTCTAAGCTGAAGAGCCCTGCGCAGTCTCAGCTCTCCGCTGCGGGTGCTGCTCATCTCACTGGACATCCTCCTTGCCCTTCTTCGGTCTGGACTTTCTGGAGGCGAGGGGACCGCAGCTGCAGGCAGGGTTCAAGATGAAGGGGAAGCCACAAATTTATACAATTTACGTTATTTTCTGCTTGCCTTGTTTAGATATTACTTCCGTGTTTTGAAAGATGTCTTTTTAGAACTCATTACAAGGATTTAACCCTTTTAACAAACATCATCCTCATGGCTTCCCTTCTAAAAAGTGATTCTTAGTGCATTAGATCTTGTTTTTTTCCCTGCAATAGATATATAATGGCCCAGTGCAATGTGAATTTAGTTCCTGGGCTCTCCGTGCTTGAAGAAAGGCTTTTATGAGTATGGCCAAGCAAGACTGGACATGCTTTTACTGGGCTGGATGAGGAGAAAATCCGTCTCTGTTGAAAGGTTTGACTGCAGTGGCTTTGTCACTTTTCCCAAGCCAGCGTGGGGATAACAGATTAATACCATTGTCTTCCGAATGCTGAGAAGAGCCAGACAAAAATGCTTCTTGTTCCTATTTTAAATTCTGTTGTTCATTGAATCTTTAACATTCAGCATTTCGAGAGGAAACAAGACTAGATGAAGAGATAGCAGGCTGGTTCCCAAATGAACATGAGAGTAAGTATTTTTTC